TCTGTGACTGTGCTGGTACTGCAGTACATTTGAAATCAGGTTGTACCTGGTATGAAACCAGATTCCTCTGGTCACGTCCTCCATGAGTTCTCACTGTCAGAGCACTGGAGATACTCCCCAGCTGACAAGGCTCAATCTTAAATCATAATCTGCCCTCACAATCTCCCCTCTGCCCCACAATCAGTGCTGTAGCTGCCACGTGTCCACCTGAGAGGTAACGGTTAAAGGATGTCTGATAATTAATAACTCCCGTGTGTCTGGACTTGCTGACCTGGTAGGATGGCAGGAATGCTGCTACCACTGACCCGAGGAAAAGGTGTTTGTAGTCCAGGGAGCATGTCCCAAGGAGCTCAGCAGAACATTCCCTGCTGTGGAGGGTGTGGGGACAAAGCAAAAATCCTTCCCTCCCCAAACAGGGCTGTTCTGGCTCCTGCTGACTCACCCAAGCTCTTGTCTTTGTTTTCCCTGCAGGTTCATGGAACAGCATCCAGAAATGGACTTTTCAAAGGCTAAATTCAACTGAACCCTCCCTTTCTCCCCCCCCTCTTGCAGTCAGCCCGTTGAATGGGGCAGGATGTGTAGGGTTGGATATTCCTCACCTTTGGGCAAGTAAAACTTCCAGCGTCCCCACCCGAGCCTGCTGTGGAGGCAGCTCCCTGGAGTCACCCCCAGTGTCCTGTGTGGAGCAGCCACAGCAGCTCCAACCAGCTGCCACAATTCCCAAAGGGCACTGGGGAGAGGAGGAGGGATTAGAGAAAAAAGAAAAAAAAAAGGGTGTTAGGGCTGAGAGACCTGAGAGGTTTTGGGATATGTCCTTAATGTACTGCTTTGCTTCCCTGGGCTCTTCAGAGCTGCTCGTCCACTCTTTGCCAGTTCAGTCTGGCAAAGGCACCTCCTGAGTTTTACTCCCTCCTGCTCTCCTGTGAAAACGAGGGTCAGTTTATTTTGTGAAATAATTTTCCTGCTGCCTTCTCGGGAAGGGAAAACAGCAGTTCAAACCCACAGCTATTGCAGCAGAGGCAAACTCTGCTTCTCCTTGCTGCTGCTCCTGTTCTTGCCAGAAGTGGGGCGGCTGGAGGGGTCAACCTGCTGTCCTACAGCAAGGAGAGTGTGTGGTGTGGGCAGGGGAGGATGTGTGGGGGCTCAGGGGGTGCTGTTCCTGCTGGGATGTGTCTCCTGCCTCTTTTCCAGGGGCCTCTCTCCCTGCTGATGGGCGTCACTGCACTCCGTGCCGAGCTCCTGCTGACGGGTGGCATCACTCTGCATGTTCATATCTGTTCAAACTGCAGTGCAACATAAAGGAAAAAAAAGTGGAATATTGCCAGGCAGAGTGTGTGGTTTCTCCTGCAGAAGGGGTCTGGGATCCAGGCTGGGCAGAGCTGGGGTGCCAGGGGGGCTGCTGGCAGGGGCTGGGGTCGTGCTCTCTGCTGCCTGTAAATACTTTTTGGGTTCCCTGCTCTGAACTGGTGGTCTCCCTGCCTCAGGAAGAGGCAGTGGGAGCTGCATGTCTCTCAGGAGCGCTGCTGAACCCCATTCCCACCTTAAAGCCTGGGGGCTGACCAAGGCTCATTTCTCCAGGCTCAGCTCACCACTTAGCAGCACACGACCACACCAGGAAGCCACCCTTGTCCCAGGTCTCCTTTATGACAAGCTAAGGAGGAGAGTGTCATGAAATCCTGGGCTCTGGCAGTCCAGGCAACCCCAGATCCTGCTCCTGTGGTCCTTCCCAAAATGTTTCCACCTCCTACCTGAGGGAGGGGGCACAAATCCTGCTTGGGCAAAGTCCAGCCTGGCACTGCACCTGGTGTGGTGGTGGTGGTGGTGGGGGAGTATTTTTTTGAGGAGTACAACACTTTGCCAGTTTTATAGGTTCTTGGGGTCATAAAACAGCTCTCAGCTCCGTCAGGGCACTGCTGCTGCTCCCTGGAGGTGCTGGAGATGGAGGAACAGGGCTGGGCTCTGCACCTGCAGCAGGATCCTCATCCACCCGCCGGCCCCTCCTAAGGGACAAGCACAGGCAGGCACCAGGGCGGTCATAAACCAGCAGAGTCCATGGCACCACCCCCAGCCCAACCTGTTGTTAGTTCCCCGTTTCCTCCTCAGCCCTGTATCCAGCACCAGAAGCTCCAAGCCCGACCTTTTCCCGAGGGTTGGCAGCTGCCTGGATCTGGCAGCACAGCGGGAGCAGCCTGTTCCAAGTCCAGGGCTCCCTCAGTGTCCCCAACCCCAAAATCCTGGGGCTGTTCTGTCCTCAGGTTGGGAGGAGTAACGACTGTGAAAATCCCAAATGTGCTGGTTGCAGGTGGCACTGGGATCTGGTGTCGCCTGCAGGAGGCAGCTGAGAGAAGACAAAGAGAAAAGGCAGCAACAGGAAACCCCCCCGAAGGGTTTTTGGGGGTGCAGGAGTGTAATTTGGCCTTTCAGGGGGATAAAAGAAGGCGAACAGCCCTGGGAGAACGAGGCCATTGCTGCTGCTCCAAACCCAGCGGGGGTGAACGGCCGGGGGGGCCGTGTTTGTGAAGCACAGTCGATCCCAGTGCTATCCCTGGACTTCAGCCCCTGGGGCCAGCGGAACAGAAGGTGTTTCTCCCGATGGCCTTGTCCTCTGCAAACACTCCCGCTGCCACCGATTACCCCCCAGGCCAAGGTGAATCAGGAGCACCCTTTTGCTTCCAAAGGCAGTTCCCCCTGGAATAAAACAGGCTCTGACAATGCAACCCTCCGCCTCAGTCTGAGTTTCTGGAGACCACGGAGCAGGGAAATGCTGAGGGACACTGGGATCCAAACCCTACAAACACATCCTTGTCCCGGCTCCCTGCAGATGCTTCCCGAGGCTGGGAATGGCCCTGCTGGAGGGTGACAGGTGGTAAAGGCCCTTCTTGTCTTTCCACACCTGAGCCAGGTCACCCAGAGAAGCTGTTTTGGTGCTGCCACCCGCCGGAGCTGGAGCTGCTGGCACATCCCAAGCTCCTCACCTGCCTGCCCAGGGTCCCTCCCCTGTGCCCCCTCTCTAAAAGCAAAACCTTGCAGGCACACAGAGTTTTCCATAGGGTAAAAAGTTTTCCCCAGCCTTTTTTTTTTGTTTGTTTGTTTCCAACAGCAGCTCTTGGCTCAGCTTTTATTAATGACTACGGCAGCTCAGACCATTTGGGAAATATCCCAGACTGCAGGGCTGCTTTGGGAAGAGTGATAGAACAGCAGAACCCCAAGGAGGGAAACAGCCAGTGAGTATTTCATGTTACTGCTCAGTTTTAGGAGGAGCCTCAGCTCCACTGTTACTACAAGGAGCAGGCTGTGAGGAATTAGGGTCCATCCATCTGCTTTCCAAGGTCTAAGCCACACTGAAATAAATAATTCAGCAGTTCAGGGTGTGGGTGAGGAAGAAGAATTCCTTTAACACTCCTGCAGCCATTCCCTGCCGAGTTCCCAAGCTGCCTTAAGCCAATCCCAGGGAACCACTGTGGGGTGGCTCGGGCTGGGCAGCACATGGATCCCCCAGAGGGATCAATCTCCAGAGACCCTTCCCAGCCAAGAGAAGGCAGCACTTAACCTGTTCATGGCTCTGAAATCCTTCCAGGAAACACATCTCTCCAGCTGGTCCCGTGCACCGGGGGAGAACCCACTCACACCCACACCCCCCGTCCTCTGCCCTGGGAGGGCGAGGGAAGGTCAGGGAGGGAGGGAATGAAGCTCTGCAGGTTATCCTGAGCTTTTGCAGTGAAATTGGGAAGCGCAGAACTGGTCCTTCAAGTCACAGGGTCAGAGGCTGAGCCAACCTCCCTCCCCAGCCATCAGGGACAGCAGCAGCTCCCCAGCCATTCCTGCACTTCCTACCAAGGCCTGGCGACATCACAGGGACAAGGTGGAAATTCCCAGCCCCAGGCTCAGGTTTTCCAGAGCTCATCAACCCTCAGGGAAGGTCCAGGTTTCGCTGCATGCCAACAGGCACTTCCCCACAGGCTCCTTAATTTGCAGCCAGGCACCATCCCGGTGTTCAGCCCTCTGAACGATCCCCCTGGAGCTGCCAAATGGATGGAAAAGTCTTTGTCTACCTGGCAAAGCAGGAATCAGCCCCACTCCCTGTGCATCCCCCACCCAGGATTCCCGAACTGATGGGAGCAGGAAGGTGAAGGACACAGCACAGGTAAAGAGTTCATCTTTTACTTTATAAAAAAGACCAAATCAGAACATTTAAGGCCAAGGAGTGCAAAAGAATCCCGTAAGACACCACAGGTGAACCAGCTTCAGGAACCACCGAGTTGAAAATCTTCCTCTTAATGAGTTTTTGGGGTTGGTGTTTGGTTTTTTTTTTTTTGGGGGGGGGGGAGGAAGGGGATTGGTTTGGTTTTTTTATAAGCTTAATCCATACACATTCACTCTTCACACACAGACCAAGCATTAAAAATGGGCTATTTCACCTGCTCCAGCGGTCGCAGCTCGTTGCAAGTCCAGCTCACCCCTCGTCTCCAAAGCACAGCCCACAGAGCTGCTGTGTGTCAGTGTGACCCATGCTGAGCCCCAGTGCACAGGTTTGAGCAAACTTGTCCAAATAATCCACTGAGAAGCAGAAACCAGGCGGGTCCACCCGTACGGGGGGAGGTGACCACACACGGCTCTTCTGGGAGCCCCAGCCTGGCCTTGCTTCAAGTCTTCTTGTATAAACTGGGCTTTTCACAAACCAACAGCTTTAAACACAAAGCAGGGAGGGGAAGCCAAATCCCAGGCTCGGTCTCTCCCCTTTATTTTCAATCTGTCTCGCTCTCTCAGCGTCTCCAGGTGTGGTCTCAGCAGTGCCCCTGATTTCTCAAAGCACGCTCTGAAAAGCCAGTGCTTTACAAAACCAGGCTCTAGCAGGGGCTGGAACTGTCCATGTCAAAGGATTTTGGCCTGTTAAATAAGCTTGGCTGCTCAGGAGAGGAATTAAATCCTTCCCCCCTACCCAACCTCCTGAAGAGTAATCACAGGCTGTGAAATAATAAAGGCACATTTCAGTTCAACTTAGGCACATTTCAGTTCAATTAAGGCACCTTTTAGTCCAATTAAAACGCATTCCAGTCCAACTAAGGCACAAAAACACAGTCCACACCAAAGCACAGGGCCTATTTTGGGTTCCCTCTCTCCCAAAACCAGTGGGTGTGTTCATTCCACGGCTGGTAAATCCAACCAAGTGTTTTCTATTCACGTCCAAGGACACCCAAAAGTATAAACAAGTCCCGTGGCCGCACGTGTTTACTTTCTGATAAACAACCAAGTGGCAACACCACAGATCCAGCTTCCTCCTGCTGCAGTGCTGCAGCCCTCAAGGTCACCTGGCACTGTGCCCTGGGGGTAGCATTGCCCCATCTCCTGCTTCCCACTGCCTGCTGGAGAGGAGCAAAGGGAAGGAGAAGGTGCTGAGGGGAAGGAAAGGACCAGCAGTGCTTCGCAAATCCCCTGCAGACACTCTCAGGAGCCTTTTCCTTTCAAAGCAAGCCACTTTTAAGGCACTTTCTAGCAAACACAAGGAAGTTAGAAAGAGTTTCCCCCACCTGCCACAGTCCTGCTTCCAGGCTCGCCCAGCAGGATGGGCTTGGCGGAGGAGTGAGGAAGAGCTGGGACTGGCAGGGAAGTCCCAGGTCAGTGTGTGCTCCTGGGAACACCTCACAGCTTCAGTTCACATCAGGCTGGCAGAGCTGATCCCCTTAGTCTGCTCAAGGGGGGTGAAGGAAGCAGCTGAGCAGCCATCCCACCTCCCCTGTCTCAGGAGACACACCAAGAGGCCAAAAATTAAATTAACTCCTTTTACCTGAACCTTCTCCTCACGAGGCAGCAGGAGATGACACCAAGGGTCAGCAGGGAGAAGGTAGATCTGGCTACTGCAAGCACACAGGTTTTTGGGGACCAACCCAGCCACTTTAAACAGAGATTTGGGTCCCTAGAGGGGGATTTGGGTCTCTAGAGCCTCACCTCAGCATCAGCACCAACACAGAGACACCACCCAGTCATCCCCTACCCAAGTTAACTCAGGCAATGCCAGGAAGCAAGAACTGTACAACAGATCCCCAAAGCAGGCAAAGGGCTGGGCCACTGAGGCTGCAGGAGCTAAATGTTTAAATTTACAGAAATCACAGAGGCACAAGTTATCTGATACTTCCTTGTCCATCTTCTCCTCCCTGGGCACACACTCCGCCTCCCAAGTTCATCAGCTCCACAGTTCTCCTCCTCGATGTTTTGTATCGTCCAGAAAAAAACTCCAAATATCCGGTGAAATTCAGGCAGCAGGAGGAATTTGGCTTCAATAAAGGACCAGGGTAGACTGGGCTGGGGGGGAAAAAAAGTGGCCCAAGCACACTCCATGTGGAAAGAGGAGGAATGTGACTGCAGCAAAGCCCTGGAATGCCTGCCCTGGAATGCTTCGGTCCTTTAACAATACACCTGAAGCAGAGGTGCCCCAGACGAGTCAGTCTCTGTGTCTTGGAAAGAGGAATCTCTGCTTGTTGGAGAGCCTTGGAGAGGGAAGAGAAAGAGATGGTGACATTAGCCAGGGTGAAGCACAGCAGTGGAGCACCTGGCAGGTGGGGAAGAAGGTGCCACAGAAGGCTTTGTGTATCATGAGGGAGGAGAAAGCCACAAAAAGCCCACGGGCAGGGAACAACCCTGCCTGTATTGTAGCCATCTCCTAGGACAGATCTGTTATTATGCAGGAGGAAACTTGTCCTTTAGCCCTGGGCTGCTTTTTGGGAGGATCAGAGCTCAGGGGGACAGCCCATCACTCTCCCCTGCTTCCCTTTTGCACGGTTCCTTTTGTTCCCAGGTCTCACCCAGCTGTGACCTTCAGCGGTCACACCCCAAATACAGCCCCAAACTTTGGCGAGGCACACAGAGGCTGAAAGCTCCCAGGACAAATACTGTGGAAGGGCAGAGAACGCTGCAGACTTGGATTTCAATCCTTTTCAGAAGGACCCACCAACCCGGGGAGTGCCCTGAGCTCCCGTCGCTCCCGAAGCCCAAGGGAACCGAGGGGATTCTAAAGGGCAGGGTCAGCTCAGCCTTGGGGAGGGTGGAAACTAGAGGCCCATGAAACAGGGGAGGTTCAGGGCATCCCCCTCACTGCTGTGATGCCCCTGCAGCCCAGGCCCCCCTCCAGGTCCCTCACCTGCGCTGCTGTGCCGCCTCATGTTCCGGGCCATCACATCTGCCGGCGTTTCTTCCGATATTTGCACGGCCAAATCTGGAACGAAAAACCGAGAGGGCCTGAGACAGGAAAGGATGACTCAGCAGCGAGGAGCCCTGTCAGGGAACACGGGGATCTCCAGGAGGCACCACCCTCAGGGAACAGGGGAGGTTGAGTCTGGTTCTCCCCATTGCTTCCACCATTGTCCCTGTAACCTGAGCTGTGTGGTCCTTGAACACCAGGAAGGAACAGCAGCCTCCCTGCTAATCTGGGAAGCACAACACCCACTCGCTTTCCTCTGTTACTTCTGGATGTCTCCTTGACCTCCACACCCAGCTTTCCAAGGTCTTTCTGCAACAAACTCTCTTACAACCTGTTCTGGAGGTCGGGCACTTCAGGCTGCTCCGGCGAGGAGGGAGCAGCCCTGGAACAACCAGGAGGCACTGGCACTGTGGAACAGCCCTTCTCTCCTTTTTGCAGGGACATTTACCGTGTGGAGGAGGTCTCAGCAATGAGGAGACACTGTCACAGTAGTCTAAAGGTGGCATTAGACAGGTAGCACATGGGACAGAGCCAGCTGAGTAACTGGACATCCCCTGGCACAAGCAGCTCGTCTGGTCATACCAGTTCAGTTTGACTCACGGTCTTTCTGCCCCGCTCAGAGGTGCAGAGGAAAGGCAGAATCACTGCAGCAGCAGCAGCACAAACCCTCCTATTGCTCAGCATAAACCTCACCGGCAGGGAAAGACAAGCTCAAGAAAGGCACAGCACAGTGAGGGTGAGAGGCAGAGGTCTCCATAAGGCCCTCCATTCACATATCCCAGGAAAGCAAATTAACCCATGCATTTTAAGCCTTGTAAAATAAAGAATTGAGAGCACAGCTGCTGCAGCAATGCAGGTGCAGATGTACTTTATCAGAGACACAGAAACCTGAAATATGTTCCATGGATCCAAATACACACACTGCACAGTTCCATGCTCATCTGTGCCCCCAAAAGAAAACAAGCTAAAGCCCACCCTGAGGACAAGACAACAGCTCTCAACCCCTCCCCACAGCCACACCTCCGTGGCTTGGGTAACACAACCAAGCAAAGCAGCAACACCCAGGGACCCCACATACCATCCTGGCTGATGACCATGGACTCCAGCATCGTCTCGTTGCCGCTGTCGGGCGCGTTGCCCCGGCTGGACTTCCCCTCGTGGCTCTGGCCGCCCGGGAGGGAAATGTGGGGCCGGACCCTGCTCTTGCGGGTGCTGATGCGGATGATGCCTCGGACCAGCCTGCACTCGGCATCCTGCTCGTCCAGGTTGTAGTCCTGAGTTATGCTGTTGATGAGGTCCGAGATCTTGTTGGTCTTCTCCAGGAAGACGGTGTCCGAGGTGCACTTGGCCAGCTCGTCGATCTGGTGGACGCTGAAGAGCTCCGTCAGCTTCTTGAAGATCAGGACATCGATCTGCCTGCTGGACATGGAGCCGTTCAGCTCACTGATGTCCACGTCAGACTCGTGGAAGGAATAATACTCCTCCGAGCTCCGGTGGCTGCTGGGGAGCGGCGGCTTTTCTATGCTGTTCCTGAAGGGCTTCTCCAGCAGCTCCTTGCAGCAGGAATCCGACTCCAGCTGGTGGCTGGGGCTCCTGTTCTGGTAGACAGGAATGCCCTTGAGTTTCACATCTGGGTAACTGAAACTGCTGCCCATGCTGGACTTTTTGATCTGGTTCCCATTCTTCTCAGCAGGGGAGACGTTGGTGGGGCTGTTTGGCAGCCGCCCGTTATAGTCTCCGTTCTTTCCATCGTCAGTGGAGGGCTCGGTGGGCCCCGGGTAGGGGATACAGACACTGCAGTCCTGGAAGCAGCCCCCACAGGTCACTATACAACAGAAAACAGCCTTGTACGTGTTCCAGGCCTGAGACAGAGAGGAGCAGCACAAGCTCTGGTTTGGGGGAGCCTCTGCTGTGCCAGAGATAAAGGTGATTGTCTCTGCCTCTCTGCCGTTGGAGTCCTTGAGCTCAGCCTTGCGCCCCTTCCTGTCCCGCATCTGCTGGGCTCGGCTGCGGCTGGGCTTGATCTCCGGCGTGGAGCCGCTGAACACCTCCAAGCTGACATCCGTGTCCTTGGCCGCCCGTGTCTGCAGGGACACGGCCTCCTGGCAGGCCTGGCTCAGCTGGCGGTGGCTGTTCAGGTCCTGGGGCAGTCGTGTTTTCCGGCCCAGCATGGCTCAGCGCTCGGGCACCTGCGGAACAGGGAGGGCTCAAGTCACGGCTCTCGTCATCACCGGCCCCACCTCAGCGAGCTGCCCATCAGCACAGAGGGGCCTGGCAGGCAAACTCAGAGATTCTCAGATTCAGCATTTCAGTTTTCACAGGGATGCCTCACGCTGGGGCTCACGCTGTTCCCACTTGTGGCACAGAGAGGGAATCCAGCCCCTGTTTTGGGGCTCTCCGACTACTCAAGCTTTGCTTCCCTTTGGTAGACGCTCAAACCAGGCTTTAAAAGGGCTATTTTAAGACATCAAAATCCTTGCAACCTTCAGAAGAGGTGTCAGGGCTCCGGAGCAATAAACTCACAGCACAGCTGGAGGTGGAGCTTGGAGCTGACAGGCTCCAAAGGGAAAGTATCTTTTTTTAATCAACTCCCCTTTGTCTCGCATTCCTCAGGATTAGGCTGGGCCCTGACAGCGCTTATCCATTTCAAAACACATCTGTGCCCAGGAGGAGATGACAAGCAATCCATCATTATGCAAGCTGCCAATTCAGACTCCACATTATTTGGTGCTATTTAAATTCGGGGGGGGATTTAGCAACGCTGGCGTTGCTAACACTAACGATTTTTGCCAGTCATGCTAGGTAAGGTTGGGTCGTGTCAAACACTTCCCTGTGAAAACCCGATGTCTTCATCTGGATTAAGGAAAAGATCTTGTCAACAAGTTGGTCTCAAATCACTCCTCAAGGGAGCAAAGCCTTTTACAAGCCCTACTAGGGAGATGCCACAGCAGACTCCGCTCAGCTGTTTCCCTCGTTACCAACATGACTGCTCCAGGTCTGCACGCAGGAGTAAACAGTTTTTACAGCATCCACTGTCACATTTTATCTCCCCAGAGCCAACAACCAGAGCTTGGCATGTTAATTCTCCCTGTTATTCATCTTTTTATTATTAAAGCTCGGCACTGGGTGATGCTGAGTCAGGTCAAGGCTGTCACTCTCCATTTCTGTTGCTGCTGCCCTTTATCCCAGGCTGTGGTGGGCCCCTAAATTCTCCATGGTTTCCAAGCTTCTTGGCTAACACTGCTTTCACCCCCAAGAGATCCTTTTAAATACTAATTAGGGTAATTAATAAGCAGTGAGAGCCCAGCCATAGCTTAAATGTTTTAGGACTGTCCTTGTTGCTCTGCTATAGACTTTCTATAGAGCACCTCAAGCATGAATAAATTAATCTGTCTGACCTTGTTGGAGCATTGCCTCTTTTCCCCTGTTTTTTTAAACAAATAGAAACATTTTCTCCACAAAGGAACAGGCCCAGACTGAAAGCCAGGCAGTTACAGCACACCACTGCTTTCCAGGAATATTTTGGCTCTGTTACCTTATAAAAATTCATCCCAGGAGCTCCCTTTGCACATTCCTGGGCAATATGTTAAATAAAAAGCCCCAGATGCTGCAAGTTCAGTGCTGAGCAGGCAGGGCTCCCTCACCTCAGCATCAGTGGAGAGTTTTGTTTGCTTTCTGTTCAGAACAACGAAGTTTTTTTCCTCAGCTTCATCACTGGTTCAAAATTTAAAAAACAGGCCAAAAGCATCTGAGCTGCACTGAGGACAGAGCTGATTACTGGGATGTTTCTCCTCATCCTGAGGTCTCAGGAAGAGATCCAATATCTGCACTGCTCACTTGTGTAACAGCAACACAACACTCTGTGTTCTTTGTGTTGACTTATACAACAAAATATGAGATTCTGAAATTTCAGAGCATCCTGGACACAAGGAAGAGTGTGAAAAAGAGCTGCAAGGACAGATGTCAGAGACAGGCACCTGTCAGAGTCCTGGGCTCCTCCCTTCCCATCACAGCTCACGCTTCTGCAACCCCTGGATCACACGGGAAAAGCTCCCTTGGGAGCACGGACAAGACACAGCTCCTCAATCCAGCAGCTTCTCCAGCACAGGCAACAGGCTGGCCTGAAACCCCCAGCCCTAAACGAAAGCTCAGACCAAAATCCACAACCAGGGGATACTCACAGGGGTTGTGGCTCTCCCGCTGCTTCCTCTGCTGTCACGCAGGCGCCGTGTGAGACGGGAGAAGGTCCCTCCAAAGAGCCTCAGCATCTGCTCCAGAGGAGCAAGGAAGGGTTCACAAAGGGTCTGCACATCTAAGAGTTAGCCCGGGTCTAAGATCTTCATTGTTCAGGAGACAGGATTTCCTTGGGAAGCTTTTTTAAAAAAAAAAAAGCTAAATTAGGTTGTGAACCTCCTTAATTAGCACATGGGTTTGACAATAATCATATTGCTGGTGTTGCTGGAAGCCAGGGAACGTCTCCTGAGTTCAGGAGACAGGGTTTGCACAGGGATACAAGTTCTCTTAACTCCACGACATTTTCCAAGCAGCCTTGCCAGGAGCCAAAAGCCACTCTGTAAAGCTCCTGTTCTCCCTGCTGACACCAGGCAGTGACGGAGATCCTGGCCCAGAGTAACGTGGATCCAGCATCTTCCCTGTCCCTCTCAGCTATCTGGGATCTGAACAGCCCAGCCAAGGAACTGCCTCTCACCAAACACTTCCCTGTGCCCCTCGCCTAAAACCAGCTGACAGCCAGGACTCCACCACGCCGCAGGGAAACAAAATCTGGCCCTTCTTTCTCCCACATGAAGGAGAAGGAAGCAGGGAGACCTGCCTGGGCACTAAACAGAGCCCCCTCTGCTTACTCTGAACCTCCCGATGTCCTCCAAACAGGGGATTTTTGGGGAGAAGAGAAGCCGGCAGCAGGGACAGCCCCATCCCAGCCCGGCCTGCCCTGCCCCGCACAGGGTCCTGCCACACTCACTGAAGTTCCCCAGCCCTGGAAAGCTAAGCCGACCCCAGCAAGGACCAGGGAGACCCGAAAACTCGCGGGGAGAGCTCCCACCACTTCCAGCCCCCCCGGGAGAGCCCCGACACCATCCCCGGGGCCAGGGCGGGGAAGGTCCGGGAGCAGCGGGAAGCGACAAGGCGGGGGAGCCCCGGGGACGGCCGGGGGCAATGCGGGGGGATGTCCCCCAGCCTTGGGGCGGGGGGATTCGGGGTTCCCCGTGCCGGGGGAGCCCGGAGCGCACGGGGAGGGCGAAGCCGCCCCGGCGGGGGGACGGAGCCGAGGGGCGCGGGGGACTCGGCGGGGAGAGTGTACGACGGGATCCCCGGGGCGGTGATGGGATGTCCCGGTGTCCTTCCCTCCCTCCTTCCGTGCCGGTCGCGGCCTGCGCTGCCCCCGGGGCCGGGAAGCGCCGGGGAGCGGCGGGTGGTGCCGGCGGGGTGGGCGGCGGGGCCGGGGCTGATGGCGGGGCCAGGGTCGGGGTCGGGGTTGGGGCCGGGGGTCGGGGCCAGGCCGGGGCCGGGCCGGGCCGGGTCCCCCCGGCCGGCGTTACCTGCGAGCCGGGAGCGCCGTCCGGCCCCGCCTCACCTGCGCCAGGTGAGACACGTGACACGGACGGGCCGCGCCGAGGGACAGGAGAGCGCGCCGGGCGAAGCGGCTCCATCCCACCGGGAATGCCCATCCCACCGGGAACACCCCGCGGCCCTCCCCGCCGGGGATCTGCGTCAAAGCAGCCGGGCAGCCCCGTCCCCAGCGGGCTGTGTCCCCAGGTAGCGCTGGCTCCCCGGGGATCGGCTCCCCCCGCTAGGAGCCCCGTGCCCACCCCCTTAGGGTCTCCAACCTCAGGGATCCCTGTCTTGAAGGATCCCTAACCCAGTGTATCCTCATCCTCAAGGATCTCTGTCAGGAAAAATCCCTGCCTCAGTGCATCCTAATCCGGAAGGATCCCTGTCATGAAGGATCCCTATCCCAATGGATCCTCATCCCCAAGGATCCCTGTCCCATGGGGTCCCTGTCTCAATGGATCCTCATCCCCAAGGATCCCTGTCCCATGGGGTCCCTGTCCCAATGGATCCTCATCCCCAAGGATCCCTGCTCCAAGGGATTCCTATCCCAATGTCCCTGCGCCTCCGAGGATCCCTGTCCTGAAGGATCCATATCCCAAAGAGCTGGGCAGTTCAGATCTTTTCCTGAAGGCTTGGAAAGAAGGATGAACCCCCTTGGGAAGGTGGCAGCAGGGAAGGAGCCTGGCAGAACAACAGCTCTGCACTGAGGCTGCTGCCACTTTCCAAGAGGAAAGAGAGAAATCAGTTTAAAGGATGGTGCCAACGCCAAGAGTCTCCTGCCTTCTCTAAAGGGCACAGAGACAGTGTTTATTTATTCAAGCCTCTGGCACTGAAGCCCAGCCGGTGTCGTTTCCGTGTCCGGGATTTCATTCGTGGATAACTCACAGCACTGCTTGGAAATGTGTCCTCTCCTCTACCAGGTGCCTTGAGCACAGATCCCCGGCCATGAAACCTCTCCTGGCACTGTCCCAGGGAGCCTGGCATTTTCAGGATGAGCTGAGCAGCACAGTGTGACCCCCTGAACCCAGCACCACTCAGCTCCCAAATTTTTCCCTGTGTCCCATCACCTCCCACATCCCAAACTGCTGATGCCGGGTCCAGGGTGGTGGGACAGGGAGCTGGGCCAATCCCAGGAGTCCTGAGGTTTAAACCTGAAATCCTGATGCAGGATTCCTTCCCTTACACTGAGCCAGGATGAGAGAGCAACGCCTGGGCCCCCCTGCCCTGATAACTGGGACACCCGGGGACAAACTTGCAGAGAGGCTGGGAGAGATGGCACCAACATGAATTATTTGCTGCCTGTGACAAGGCTTTGCTTTTCTGGAGCACATCCCAGTGCGGGGCTTTAAAGAGGCTGCAGATGAGGCCAGTGCACATCCCTTAGCTGTGTCCTCCTGCTGCCTGCATCCCTGTGGGAATACCGGGGACCGGGCTGGAGGTGGGATGCAGGGTGTGGTCCCATCCCAGTGTCCCATCCCGGTGATTGGTGCCTTGGCAGAGGGGCGCTGGCAGGAGAGGGAGAACAAAGCTCCCACCGGGCTTTTGCATCACCGAGGTTTATTCTGAGCGCTGCTAATTGCAGCCTCCTCTGCTAAATCATTAATAGCTCGTCAGCCCGGGCAGAGATCCTGCAGTGCCGGAGGGTTTTGGGGACTCAGTCACTGACTTACCTCAGGGCAGGGGCAGTTCTTTCATTCTCCTGCTATTTGCCTTTCCCAGCTGCTGTCTGCTCACTAGTGGGACATGCTGGGACAGCCTGGGGACATGGTCACCTTCAGCCTCACTGCCCAACAAACCCAGCCCATCTTTCCCCCCTGCTCCATGTTTCTGTGTCCTTTTCTCACCCCAGAGCAGGGCCTGGAGCTGGGAAGGCGACAAGCAGCGCAGACGTGGGAGGTGATCCAAAAAAAGCAATTATTTTCTGAGCAGGTGGTGACGGAACGGGCACCTCCTGAGATCACTCCAACCTCTGCAATTCAGGGGTTTCACTTTGGGGGGAATGAGGTAAGCTCAGAGCGAGGCAGATCCCAGCCCTTTCCCCTTTCGGGGCTACCCCTGGAGATCCACGTTCCAAAGAAGCAGAGAAAAAAACGGGAGAGGAGGATGTTCTGTTTAATTCCTGCCTGTCCCCACAGATTTTTGGGCACGGGGAGCAAGGGCAGAGCTTTAACCCCACGATGCAGCAGCGGCCCCTCAAATCCCACACCCCATTTCAGAGCAACATTTGTATTAGATACACGAAGACTTCAGCTTTCCCACAGCCTGGAAAGCAGCCTGCAGAGCTCGAGGAAGAGCCGTGGCCGTTCCTCCGACCCCGGGCGGGTGGGGGTGCGGTGTCTGCCGGGGACGAGCCGGCAGCGGGGGCTGGAGCAGTGACGCAGCAGGCGTTGACGCCGCTCCGGTGCCTGGCAGACGTGTGGCAGCCTGGCAGGAGCAGGAATGTGATGCAAAGCGCAAGAGATGAGTTGTTTTTTTTCTTTTCCTCCTAAGGTAAGGGAAGCAAAAATGTCACCAGCTCCGTGGGCGACATCCACTGCAGGCCTGGATGTGGTATCTGCTTGGAACGGATTTAAGCTGGGGTTTTGTTTTTGGCTTAGGCTTTTGCTCTGGTCTGGGGGTGGGATGAGAGCTTAGCACCTGGTTTCTGTCATCCCTTTTCTCCTCCCTGCTGCTCCGATGTGAAACACAAGCAGGTTTTACCCCACGCACCTACATGAAGATGCAGCTACTGAGGATGGCATTCCGGCAGGAGGAACCCCAAAAAACAGGCTCTGTGGGGGAGCAAGGTGGCAGCAGCACCTCCCTCTCCAGCCCCCTCTCCGTGTCATCCCACCCCCAGGTCTATTAACACCATAGAAATGAGAATGACGTTGCTGTGACAGCCATGCGACCAAGGACACGCTCTCCTGGTGTCACATTCCCTGCACCCCAAGATGGGACACCCCAGCCACAGCCCTGATGGGTGGTGGGGGGAAAGGGGCTGCCCCCTGCTCTTCTCCCTGCCCCAGGCAGAGGCACCAGCATCCCCCAAACAGCACCAGGAGCTTCTCAACTGCTTCTCTCAGGAGCTGCAGACTCAAACCAGCCGTTTCAGTAACCCCTCGCAGTCTGTCTTCCCCCACTATCCCATCCCAGTAAATCTCCCCTCCCAGTCCAACCTTTCCCAGTGACCCCTCAGTAACCGTCTCAGCCTTTCCCAGTGATACCAGCCGTCCCCAGCTCAGTATTTCCCACGACTCCCCCCGAGGGCACCCCAAACTGCTAACATCACCGGCACAGTGCCCTACCGGGCCGTCCCGAGCCCGGCGTCCTGTCAGTGCTGGCACCGAGCCCGCATCGATGCCGTACTGGGCCATACCGAGCTCGGGGCCGGTGCTGGGCAGAGCCCGGTGCCAGTACCGGGTCTGTGCAGGGCCACACCGAGCCATGCCCAGCCCGGTGTCGTGCCGAAGCTGAGGCCGTGCCAGTGTCGATACCGGTAACGTGCCCTACCGGGCTAAACCGAATCCCGGGCCAGTGCAGAGCCAAGCCCGTACCGGTGCCGTGCCGGTCCATACGGACCCCCGGGCTGCACCGAACCGCTCCGGGGTCTCGCGTCCCTCCTCTACCCCCCCATCCCCCCTTTGCCGGTGCGGAGCCGCCCCCACCGGGGCCGAGCCACCCTCCGCCAGCACCGCCCCCGGGCTATATATCCCCGCCGCATCCCTCCTCTCCCGCTCCCTCTCCCGCTCCCCATGGCTGCATCCCCGGCGGCACCGGCATCCCGGAGTCCCACCCGCGGCGAGGCGCAGCGCCCG